TGAGAGGCACTCCTCACTCAACCTGCCCAGGACGCAGCACATCACTCAGGAACCTGACAGATGCAGATTCAATTTTGCCAAGAAGAATTGGAATAAATTCCAATTGTCTTCAGCAAAGTTTTGCAATACTGCAGCAGCATCACAGTTGGGATCCTGAAGCAAGTGTTCCTCACCCCTGAAACTGGAAGTTGGTCCCACACTGGTGCAGCAAGCTCATGCTGCTCAGTTTGTCAGTGATGCAGATCTTGCCCTCAAGGCACACAAAAGCAATGTTTGTGAGACATGCTCTAACTTTCAGGTACACTAAGTTACCCATGTGCTCCAATTCAGGGTTTCCCAAGCATTCTTTTCTTTGTGCAAGCCCTACCATCACCAGAGGAGGTGAAACATCTACTCCTGATAGTACATAGCAGCACACAACACTTTGAAAGACTCTGCACACTAGGGGTATATGTGGCACTGCTTAGAAACTACTTCTCTGATCCTAAATGTTCCTTTACATCTAAGCTCAAGGTGCATACACAGAGGAACAAGTATACAGTTGGAATGCAGTATATTATATACCAGTTAAGTTGATGCAGCCCACTCTGACCTTCACACTGCAACACCAAACACTACACTTTCTGTATTCCTGCACCAGGGTAAAATGGTTCACTCTCCAAAAGAGGTCCCCCTCTCATTGCTTGACCTACGCATGTTTTTCCATCTGAAGCCTGACAAAAGCTGCTCAGTGTCAGAAGTAAGTCCTGGCTTACATGCAGGAGGCACTTTGTGGGACTCAGCTAGCAGGACACCATCTCAGCAAAAAACAGTTTTCCTCGGTGGTTGGTTTGACTGAAGTGGAATGATTATACTCAGCTTTGTCTGACAAAGAAACAGATCCGCCTCCACAGAACATGGCAGCCAGCTCAGAAACAAAGGGAGTATACAATATCACACCACTACCATCTGCACCTCCACCAGATCGCATCCTGCTATGTTTTTGTGCTTCAAAAAAAGAGCCCTGTGCCAGGCACATGCTTCCCAGAAGGCTGTAGTAAGTCACGCCCAGCCATGGTATGATGGTGCCCAGGCATACAGCCTCAGCAGTGAAGAACTAGGGAAGCAGTACATTAGCTGCAGCATTATATGCTGGCCAAGATGGCTCAGCCCAAGTCATATATGTTCCCACCCACTTTCTCAGCTCTGGTCACTAGTAACTGAATATTTGTGTTCTTTTTTGGAGGTGCTGGAAAACACAAAAGTACATGCAACGCAGCTAACCATTATTTCTGCAGATCCCCTGTTGCCTCGCTTTTTGTCATCTTCTAAATAATGATGCCTTTATTTTAGCAGGAGAGCATAAGGAAGGAACAGCATGGAGAAAATACCAATTCAATAGAAATGAATCATTTGCACTGATGTGCTAACAGTTAACTCTACTGCTGCTGCTCTAATTAAGGCCCACACAGTCCTGTAACATTAGGAGTTATGTGAACCTTAGCCATCCTAATCAGGCAGCACAGAGACCTGCTCCTTCAGCAGGTCAGCACAGCGAAGGGCTCTTCTGCACCCATCCTCCCTCTAAGCAGCAAAAATACACAAAGATGCAGCTGCCCGCTGTGATAAGCCTGAGCTCTCAACGGGGCCAAAGATCAGCTCTCTTCTATAACACAGCTTTTCCAAGACAGGCACTACTTCAACAGACAGCCCCTTCCCGTCTAAGGCTGAAGGTCTGTGCTGATATCCCTTTCTGAAAGCTGTCATGCTACGCAGATAATATTCTGCCAATCTCATTTTGACTCCACTTGGACAAGGACTACAATGGGTGAAATGATTTGAGACACAAAATAAGATGATAAAAATTGCACAGCAAACACCACAAAGAATTAAGAAGTGTTCACCAAAGACGTCTTCCTAAACAAAGATACAGAGCATTCTACTGGCATGATGGTTTGTAAAGGCAACAGTTTGAAAAGTTGTAATATACAGTATAAAATGCTTATTTAAAGCACTGCAATTACTTGAGGAGTGTTCAAAACTCCTCCACTGTCATTGGTCATACCCTCTTATGTGACTGCTATTCCCTTTACTGCAGAAATCTAAAAAAAAAAAAAAATTAGTCCAGAGTGAAACAAAAACAAGACTTACATTGCCTTTACATTTGTACACAAGTTTTTAGGGGGAGGGGTAGAAGTTGTTTGCCTTTCAAAAGCAACTTCTCAGAGGTAGTTAAAAATAAAAGTTCATTTTCAAGTAATGAGCTGAGCTTTCTAAGTTTAGACTATGTGAACAGAACATGTTAACTTCCCAAAACAGGATGCATTTATTACAGCAAGTATCAGGTTCTGTGCCGTGGGGAAATCTCAGTTTTTAGTTCCAAAATCCTAGAGCACTTCTGACGAATGCGCTATTCAGACACTGCTTCATTTCAACCTGGAGGGCAGAGCACAGGATTCTAGTACTTCTTTCCAACAGGGACTTCTTAAAACAGTTCTACTAATCATAATAGATTATGAAAAGTTATGTATTTACTGTGAAAAGTGGCATGGATTACACAAAGGAAAGCTTCACTGCAACAACTGGTAGCAGAGCTATGGTTACCATTTGCAGTATCACATGGTACTGATATACGGATAATAAATGATTTCTGTAAGCAATTTATGTGATCTGTTTGTAAGATTCTTACAGCAGTAGACACAAACAGGCATGTTTTCAAGTTATTCTTTAGCTCACATCTGTTTATAAGCTATGCATTTCCTTCCCTCCCCTGCGCCCAGATGTTTCCTCAGGCTTTCTCATGCCTTTGGATAGCATTGAAAAGAACCTTCTTTTGTGGAAAAAGTGGGTATCAGCTCTACTGAATACATAAGTGCATCAGACCCTGTCCCAGCAAACACAATCCAGATGATTTTCTTAGATGTGTAACTGATGCTAAGTGTCTTCAGTACATCTCACTGGTTGAATTAGGACGGCAGATCAAAAATAGTAACATTACATTGGCTGTTTCTGTAGTACAGATAGTACTGTAGTAGATAGGAGGTTTAATGCCGCAATAGCTGGCCATGTTTGTTTTGTTTTGTTCCACCCACAATTTTCAAAGTACTAATACTGACATAGCCAGCCTATAAGTAAACAAATGGCAGCACTGCATTAATGAAGGCTAAATACAGCAGCTGTACTTAACCTCTCAGGGTGCAAAAGAAGGTGGCACAGTCTCATCCCATCTGCAACTGGAGACAGTTCAAGCAGGAGGTGACCCAGACCAATCGGAAGCTTAAAACCTCGTCAGGTCTATGCCAGCCCAAAGTAATTACACACTACAGGTACTTTACCAAAATTAGTTACATTACACTTGCAGAAGGCATTGAGTTCATCTTGTACACAATGTGCTGACAGACTGCACCTCAGCATTTTTCCCTACACATTTCCTCCTTTTCAGAGGCTATAAAAATATGCACTATTCCAAAAAGCCTGAGTGCTCTTTTTTATTTCTTTTAAGTACTTTTAAAGTATTTTAAAGCATATGTATTTGAGTATTTTTAAGTATATGTTTCTACGTAATTTTAAAGTATTTTGAAGTATATGTTCCTAATCTTTATTTGCTAGCATTTAATAAAAGGCATTACATAGAAACAAGTTGTTAGAGCAAATTCTGAAAGATTTACAACATACATCAAGGTACATATATTTAGTCTTAAAGAAGCAAAATGAACTCTTGAACACATCTTCCTATCCTCATTTCCTTCTGTTTCAACAGTTACGTGAAAGTACTCTGACACTGGAAATGTTGGACCCATTAACCTGTGTAATCACAGATAAAGCCAACAATAGCCCTGAAGACATAAATCACCCTAATTTCAGTGTGACAAAGAATATTCATTTGTTTCTTTCAGTGTATCTAAAAGGTAGCTGCACTTCCCTGAAGTGGGAAAAAAAGAATCATCAACTTCAGTTTTTCAAGACCAAGACTAAGAACAAGAACAATACAGATGAAGCTTAATGCTTACAGATTGCAGCTTCTTTTATATTGCTATTGGCATCAGTGATTCCCTTTTGTATTTCATCCAGCCACAGAACCGCTGATTCATCCTGGGTTTCCTGGAAAAGGGATAGAGAAATGCCTTACAAAAATGAATTAAAAATTGTATTTGAACATACTGATAGAGCTAACACACAAACTCCCTTCACAAAGCCCTCAACCACTTAAAATGAACAGTAAAACAAGCTCGTATTCTATTTGCTGAGTAGATTAAACTGTTGCTCAAACAAAAGTTCTCAAAGTTTTCACACACAGAAGACTCCATCCTGCTAGATGAATAGAAATTTTAAGTAGAGCTGGAAATGTCTCCATTTCCATAACACATAAGCAAAGTAATCGAAGCATTCAATAAACGCAAATATCAGCCTGCCCTGTGATAGTAGCACCAGTAGCACATAGGAAGTTGGTTTTCTTTCCAAAGCCCTTGTTTGAGAAGAGTGTGTGAATAAGGGCTATACAACAAAATGCTGGCAAAAGCTGGCATAAAAAGCCAGCTCAGATTTAGCAGTGATAACTAAGCTTGGGTGACAAAGGTTGCAGGAGCTGAGTGGCAGAGCAGGTCTCACTTTCTACAGGCTGACCCTGCATCATGACTTCATATGCAAAATAAAAGAGAGGGTGCTTCCTACAAGATAATCCTTATCCTTATACTTCCAGCCTATGGCTACAATGGACAAGATTATGTCTAGAAGAATGCAGGCATTAACAGCTTTAACAGCCACAGGTAGAAGTTTGCAACAAAAACTGCTGGCACAAGGGATGCACAGGTGGGACCCTATGAAGCTCTGTGCAGCACTAGATTCTGTTCACAGAAGCAGTAAGCATGAGAGATCTATAAGAAACTGATGACGACCAAAACAGCAACGTACTGGTTCAATCAAAATCTGGGAACATATACACATATACATACATAAACATAATGGAAAATAAAAACCAGAAAGAGATACAAAGTCAAACAGCTCCTGGGAAGGCAAAGAACCATCTTCACAATGGATATCACTGTCATAGGGACCAACTCTATGTCAAAAATCTGATAAATATATTATCCATAGAAATTACAAAGAAAATTGGATAAAAAATGGCACAAAAAACCCTGTTTCCATCATCTGTGTAAACACATACTAGAATATTTAAATAAAGTCAAGTAGAATCAGGCAATTGCATGACAGTGGATGCACACAAGTGTAGTAGAAAGCTAGAGTTAATCCTCGAGTGTGCATTTACTCAACTCCCACACCATGACTGAATTTATAGCGAAGAATTGCGAAACTGAGAAGCATTTCTTATCTGGTGTTCAGTTTCAGCACATTAAATACAAAAACAGATACAAATTTTGTTCTGGAGCCAAGCCCTGTTTATGCTGAGTCTTGCCACTAACTTGGAAGCTGGACCAGAACTCACAATAATTCTGTCTTCTGGAAGCTAGCCACTGTTTCTTGGCTTAGGTGGAGGTGGTGGGAGAAGAATATGGAAGCAAATTTAAAAAAAAAAAAAAAACAACAGAAAACACCCACACAGGCAGAGGAACAGGAAGAGATCAACAAAACAGCAAATGAGGTAAAACTTTGAGAGGCTGCAAAAGGGGGTAAGTGGCCTGCCAGAGCAGGCAGCTGGGCTGGGATGCAGTCACAGCTGGTTGTTAGGTGGATGCAGAGGAGCTGAAGCACAGCAACGTTGTCTTAAGGCATATGTGTATCCCTGTGGTTTACTTTCATCTCTGCATTTTCTAAACCAAGATCACCACACTCTTCCCCACTTCTGGCCTCTCCCCAAGAAGTGTACAAAGTTCAGCAGTACAGAATTTCTGGTCTGTGGGTGTGACCTCTGAGTGTTTAGTAAACGGTTTTCCAGAAGATACCTTTTTCCCCAGATACCTGTACGTAGAAATTCCATCTGAACCTCCCCTTTTCCCTTTACTGCCATCATCTTCAGGGCTGTGGTAAATTAGGAGTTAAACTGCTGCTGTAAAGCAATTTAATCTCTGTGTTGGGCAGAGGCTGAAACTGAGTCATGTGTGCATATTTGGATACGTCACACCCTCTTGCTGTAGTAGACAAAGAACAAACTAGCTCCTTGCCATAAATCTCATGCCTACAGGATGCTTTGGGAGAACAGATCAATTGTGCCTTAGTGCCTTACAGAGGGAAGAAAATCCCCTCCCAACAGCACTGAGATGAACTAAAACCGTGTTGCCTTTTTTTTTTTTTTTTTGGTATCTGGATTTAGCAGACTACAATGAAGATTCTGGTTTTCACTGGACTGCTCTCTCTAACATCAACTCTTACAACAGGTCAGTCCTACTTTCTGTATAAGTTTTCCATTTTAGAAGATAACATTTGCTTTTTGATAACACTGGTGCTTTAGTGGCTTAAATGGGCTGTGCACACTGCTGCATTTTACTATACTCCAGCAAGTTTCGCTTTAGGCAGAATTTCATTCCATTTAGTGATACCTTGGACTACCTTCCTCTTTCCCCAGTCACTTTCAGTAAGGGGTTTTTACCTAAGGGATCATTCTTTCCTTTCTGAAAACACATCATATTTCTGTGATGAGATGATACACTTTAACCTGTACAGTCACGTTCCTTCCGCTTTGAAATGTTCAACAGAACTGCAGCCTCAGACTGCATTATTACAAGGAAATTTTCTGAGAACTGCTGTAACAAAAATCACTGAAATGATTGAACAGTAAGCCTAGTTGGTTTTTAATTAAACTAAAATGATAGCTGCTTTCAAATGAAGCTATGTTAAAAACTATGTTTTGTATAAAACAGATATGCATACTTGCACCTACCTTTTAAATAGCGGCTAAAATTATTCTTTTATTAAACACCCAGAAAATTACTAAAAGGGGTAGAGGCGTACTAATCATGATTTCTAAATGTTCTACCAAAAACCTGCCAGATTCACAGCACTGAGCTTGAATAAAGCTATTTTCCATATTTTGTTTCAATCTGGAAGCATCCACAGGTTTTCATGCAAATTTCAACTCGCTTCTGAATTTCAGTTTCAAGATCCATGCTCTGTGCCTTGCATGAAGTCTTTTGGCATTAAACACAGCCAAGACTTTTTTTTTTTAATGCAAAAATTCTTTACACAGCTGTTCATTCTGCAACAGTTATTCTGCAAAATACTTTCAGACCATGTGTGGAACACATTCATACTTCAGTAAGAAATGTAGATGCCTTTACAAAGCTCTCTACTAAGTGCTGAGGAGTAGGCATCAGTAGAAGTAACCAGCATCACTGGCTTTGCTCACAAGTCATGATATTTACTGATTCAAAAAATATTCCTGGTGCATGAGAAATTCTATTCACCTTCCAATGAATTTGATCTAACATCAGTCTTGCATTCAGCTTTCAGGACCATCGTTGCTCATGTATGAGGTGCTGAAAGGTCTTAGTTTGTGTTAGTCAGAATCTAATACAAAAACATAACTTTAATTTGGTACACGAGACCAAAATTATTTTTAGAATTATTTTCAAATTTAAAATTTCCAGCCTATGCTAGGCAAGGCAGTGCTCTTTCCATCTTCTTCAGTCATGTATTTCATTCACTAAGTGACAAGGATAGCACTACCATTTGCTTGGAAATTCTTACCAAGTCTAGATCAAAGTTGCTTCTTATATAACAAATTACCAACACTGCTGCCACCTTGCAAAAAAACCCTACAAGGCAAGCTTTAAACTAGTGTTGGACAATTTTGATGAAGATGACTGAAAGCACCTCATAAGCAGGAAAAAATCAGTTTAACATTACATTCACACTATATTTTAAAGGTTGGGTTCAAAATTACAAGTAAACAAAGATTGCTCCTGAGCACAGTTGAACAACCAAGCAATGGGGAGCGCCACCAAACTTTCTAAACACGAGTTGTTTTTCAGATAGAAAGGTTTACCTTTCTCCTTACTTGAAGGTGAATTATGTTCCTAATCCAGTAGTTCACCTATTATAACAGTTTTTTTGGTTTGTTTTTTTTTTTGAACTTTAGAGTCTTCACTGAATGATTCTGCAATTAAAACCGTGTCTCTTATCAAGACTTTCCGTGGAATTTCACCAAGAGATTATGATTACATCCCACCTCATGCTATAGAAGGGGAGACAAAGACAATCCATGTCAAGGAAAACAAAAGTTCTTTGAAGAAGTATAATGACTCCACTTTAACAGAAGTGAACAACACCACGTTGGAATACCTGACTAGTTCTCTGAGCACCAAGCTAATACCCACTGTCTACCTCAGTGCTGTTTTACTGGGTGTACCATCTAATGCCATCATTCTGTGGATGCTGCTCTTCAGAATCCGGTCTGTGTGCACTGCCATCCTCTACACAAACTTGGCTGTTTCAGATTTGCTCTTCTGCATCATGCTGCCATTCAAAATAGCATACCATATCAACAAGAACAACTGGATTTTTGGAGAAATTATGTGTCGAACTACAACCGTGGTATTTTATGGCAACATGTACTGCTCCATTCTGCTGCTCACATGCATTAGTGTCAGTCGCTATGTGGCCATCGTTCACCCTTTCACCTACAAGAGCCTGCCAAAACGCACCTATGCCATTGCTGTCTGTGCCACTGTGTGGACCATCGTCTTTTTGTACATGCTCCCACTCTGCATAATGCAGCAAACCTATTATGTGAAACAACTGGGCATTTACACCTGCCATGATGTGCACAGTGCCTGTGAAACTATATCTTCCTTCCAGTTCTACTACTATGTTTCTTTAGCTATCTTTGGATTCTTAATGCCTCTTGCAATCATCATTTTCTGCTATATTTCGATTATACGAACGCTCAAGACTCACGAGTGGTTCTGGTATGTGAAAGTCAGTCTTTTGATCCTTACCATCTTTGCTATTTGCTTTGTACCAAGCAATATTATTCTTATTATTCATCATATCAACTATTACTACTACAATACAGACAATTTGTATTCTTTTTATCTAATAGCTTTATGCCTTAGCAGCTTAAACAGCTGTCTTGATCCTTTCCTTTATTTTCTAATGTCAAAAATACGAAGTCAGTCCAATATATACCTAACAATGGTTAAAATAACCAGGGAAATGTGAATTTTATTCTATATTTATACTATTAGAACTATGATTTTGTATAGTACTAACCCAGGTAGCAATAAACCTCAGATTTGACAATTAAACCTAAAAAAAAAAAAAAAAAATCTAAGGTTGTTAAATCGTGATCTCAGTGAAATTTACTACTTCCAAACCCCACATAAGAGGCATCCTCAAATATACTTCTCTATAGTTTTGTTGTGTGTGCTACAATGTCAGGTGAATCTACCTAGATTCAGGGAAGCAGCTGAGAATTTCCTTCTGAGAAGATCAAATTCATGGTCACAGAGAAGACCCTATAATATCAGTTACCACAGAACAAGAGAGGAATCCATCCAGCACTTTTAAGGCCCATTCCTGACTTGGAAACACTTTATATGTTCTTTGTGCCCACAGTCACTGCAGGACTAATGTGAATGTGAGCATTTGATACAGTGGGAACAGGAACAAGTAAAAGCACTAGCTGTTCATGAGCTACAGAGCATTGGAGAAGCATTACGGCACACAGCTAAGAGCAGATTCTGCCCTAGATATTAGAAATAAAGAGTTGCAGTCCCATTAGGTTGGAAGTGCAGCAAAATCCACAGCCTTAAAAGCAGAACTTGACATGCTTCCAAGGAAGCATCTCCTCTGAGGCTGCTTAACCAGCTTTGCTCTGGAGACTTGTTCTTCCACTGTGTCAGCACCCGTGCTCCTACAACCCACAAGGACTGCTGAAGGCTAACCCTTATCACTGTGAATCCAGGCATGCTTTATTCTTGCTTGGTAAGCGAAAAAGGAAAACTATTTTGTAGTATCCTCTATATTTCCACATCCTCACAGGAAACAATTAGTGTTACAAGAACTGAAGCAAGCTGTGATTAATTGTCCATGCTAGTAAAGCAAATGGTTATCTTTACATTTATAGAAGCTCAAGACCTACAAATGCAAAGTATAAGATCCTACAAAATAAGCTCGGTTGTTGGTGGACACCTGTAACTAACTGTGTAAGACAAATAAAAACTACTTGATGAGAGTGTTGTGAGAAACTTAAAAAATAAAGTAATTTGCAGTGGAAAATGGGAAGTCCTTCCAAGAGATCTGGTGAGGCTCTACCTGTTCAATTTCTGCTGATTCCTAATTTATTTTAAATCGTGTCATTCCTTCAACAAGCACATCATTTAACTATGACTTTTAAGTAATCCAGATATTAACCACTGACCGCAAACAACAAAAATGCTAGCTTAATTGTAAAGTCCATGTGTCTGTCACACAAAATTACACAACACATGAAGCATATCAAAGTATGGCACATCTGTTTAACATTTCAGGTATCCAGAAGACACTTCCTAAACACAGGGTTTCTCTTCAATGAGACTTGAACACGCTTGATTTGAAATGGTTGTGAGAACAATTAGAAGCAACTGTATAAAGTTACAGGAATAAACGAATTCCATATTTGTATTTTCAAGCGATGAGCAAGTAGGTGTCATCTAGCTGTTATAGGAACTAGATTCTACATAGCTGAGGCCACTTCAGCCAGAGGGACGTGACAACGGCACAGTCAGAACAAGCCAGCAGTTTCAATCCATCTGTTGTCCAGATACTGAGGAATACAGGAAGTTCAGAGTCAATCCTATCTAACTGTTGTAAATCAAGTACTCCCTTATGCCACAACTCACTCTTACAACATGTTAAATACAGCTAAAGACCAATCTGCATTACAAACAGGGATCAAAAAAGTAAAAGGTTGATGAAGACTAGTGATCATTGCACAGTCTTTTCAATTCTGTTTTTAGGAGAATTTCAATCTAAATCATATATTAAGAAGGTGATATCCATATTCTTATTCAGCAGCTAGAGAAGTAACTCAAATTAATGCATCTGAATTATTTATTTTGGGAACATATACAGTACAGCACCCTGCTCTTTCCCTAAACAGAGTTGTTTGGTTTTTTTAATAAATCATTACATAAAAACAGACGTTTTAAGTATTTGTCAAAGGACTACAAATGAAACAGCCAGCACACAGCAAGGGAGGAGACTTTTCAGCATCCAGTAATTAGTGAAACCTGATGTTATGGGAGAACACAAGCAAGACTGAGATTTGCAACACCCAGTTCAAAAGCTCTCCCAGTGGATGACAGAAGCACATGTTTTCATAGCAGGTACTGCAGGTGAGGTGGCAAAATAGCTGGGAAGTGTTTCTACAAGTCATTGTGCAGGGATTTTTTCCAGCTGACATTAAGAATGCATCATGTGAATTTTAGACGTCTTGAAATACTGGGAATATTCTATGTGCTGGGCTATGAGCTTTAGCTAATCTTCCCTTCAGTCAAATCCTGCAAGTTGTAAGGCTGATCTGTGTTTATGCTTCTCTAAGCTGTGATGTTAACCAGGGCACTGTTTTTGAGGAAGCCGATACAAGCATCCTGCCGAGATTGGCTGAAGCTGAAGGCATGTACAAGACAGGAAGTGTGTTGTTGCATGACAAGGGCAGAACAGAAACACCACTACTACAGACCTTCAGATTTCAGTAACGGAGGCTTCTCAGCAAAAGAGCTCCCAGAGGAAGTACTCTCCTCAGCATGACTGAGTACTTTCTAGCAGAAGCCTCAATTTCCACCTATATTATAACTGCCTGCCTAATTATCTCTATTAACTAGATCCTTACACAAATACCTAACAGATAGAGAATGTATCTTACTGTTAATTAATTGATAATTAATCTCCTGTGACCATCAGAATAAGTTGTAGTAGAAAACTACTCAGTGCTTGTTTCTTGTCTCCAGCTTATATCATTCGTACAACTAATCCAAAGACTACAGGAACAGGACAAGAGCACATGTAAATAAAAAGAATTGACATTTCAGTTCTGACAAGAGGCAACAGCTCTAACCTTGCGTTTCTGTGTTTTGGCATGGTGCAGAACATCCTGATAATGCTTTGCATTTTCTGGTCTCACATCCTGCAGCTTGGCTGTGGGCATCAGTAGAGCTTCTAGAGTTTTTTCAGCATTTCCTTGGTCAATTGCTTCATTAATGTGGTCAATTGCAATAATTCCTATGAAACAGAAATTTTATTACAAGTGTAGTTGTTGAAGAGATACAGCCTATCACATAACAGATACAAACAAAGCAGTAACACGCAGAAAAGAAAAATCAATAACAAGAAGCAGAGGCAGCAAGAGCAACTAACTTATAATTATTTTCTTCAGTTATGTGTGAGAAGATATTCACTTCCACAGATTTCCTTTCTGCCACACTTATTCATTCCACTGAACCTATCTCTGCACAGAAAATTTTACCCTCATGAAAAAAAAAAAAAAGGAAAATTTACTTTACCAGCAAGCACAAAGGGCTCTGAGAAGCTTAAAGAAATACTGGACACCGTATCTATGTGTGCATCAACATACTGGCTGGCTGTGCTGAAAGACTCCAGATTTGTTGAGTGGTTGGGAATTAGACTTCTTGAAACGCTAATTTCAGAGGTTACGTACATGCTGACCTACAAGTTACAACACTATGTTGAACCTTAACCTAATTTCTTTAAACTTCACCTCCTCTAATCAAACTGACAATGCTGATCTTATGAGATCAGCTTGATTTTGTTCAGACCTGTGGACACTGAGGACTACAGCCACATCACACAACGTGCTTAATAAAACCTATGACTCACTTTCTTCAGTTGTCAAGACTTCTCATTTAAAGTGACTATATATTCCCTCTCCAAAACAGTGTGGAGATGCACTGCTTGGGGAGATTTTGCCCTAAAGTCAAGCTGCAACACAAGATCACTGGCCAAAGGCTTCTCATGACCTATGAGAGACGACATCTACATTGGCAGCTGATAATCTCTCACCATGTTTCTGCCACGCCATCCAGAGCTGGTGGGTCCAGGATCCATGCCCTCATGAAGGCTAAGGCAGGAATGGGCAGCCACACAGCCTTCTTCCTGCCCTCTCTGCCCTATCAATGATTTCTGGGCAGAAGGCTGTGCCACTGAAACTACATGCAAACTTTCTCACCATTAGTGACTGATTGCTAAAGAAGAAACATCTATTTCAAGGCCTTTTTCACCTATTCATGACTCCAGTGAAGCAGAGAGTCACAAAAAGTGCCCACTGAAAAAAATACACTTATATCCCATACTGGGATAGGATATCAAAAGATGGTAGGCTGGATAGGCATCAGAAGAGCCAAGACGCCTTCATCTCCCTGTTCAGAAGCAACAACACAGCCAGTTTTTGTATTTCCATAATAAGACTCTTCTCTTACCACTGCTAAACAAAGCAGGGTGCACTGTGCTGATAGCATTAAGGAGAGGGTAGCTAATAGCCTCAAATTTTATGGAAAATGCATCTATATCCAGCAGAGACTTCAGTCTGTTAGCACTTTTGAAGCCCAAATGACCACATTTAATTTAATATCAAAATTTTAGGGCCATACAGTCACACTTAAATGAAAGAAATATTCTCCAAAACCATTTATGTTAGAGCGTACACAATGAACTTTTCTTTCAGATAGGAAATCAAATTATGTGAAAGGAGAGCAGGACAGACTGTTGTACTCCTGCAGTTACTACAAACTCTGGTGAAAAACAGGAGCTTGGAAATCACTTAACCAAACATGGTTTTTCATAGGATGTTACCTATTTTCTGACCCTATCCTCCAATACACTCTTGGCTTACAATTTCTGCAAAATCCCTGCAGTGAGATCATCCAGTTCAAATACTGAATGATACTGACAAGTATTCTGAACCAAAGCATTTGTAATGCTGCCGATGGTAGGCATCCGAGGATACATTTGAACCAGATATAACATAACAAGGAATACTTCAAGTGGATTTACAGATCAACAGCCACTCAAAATTAACAGCTTTCTCTACTGATCAGAGTCTGTGCAAGGCCATTTAGCACAGAAATGTGTGCCCTGAGGACCAGACTACCATCTCTGCCACCAATGTATAGGAAGAATTACTTACTTTCATTTTCTTCTTGAATTTGCATATTAACCATGTCAATGCAGTTCTGGATATCATTCCAGCTTAAATAATCTTGGCCTTGAGATGAAGCCTCTGACTTAATAGACAATAGTGTATCAGCATAACTATAAGAAGATATAAAATACATAAGTGTATTTCATACACAAGGTAAATTGCCATTAAGAATTAGTCAGATGTATCATCCATCATTTATTGACCTTTTCAATGAATGATTATCAGACCAACTCATCTCCTGCCAGAAATTATACAAACATACAAGCTGCTTTCTTGGTCACACGTGTTTTGGTATGTGAAAAACTAACCCTACATGCTAATCCAAAGCCGCCTTCTTGGCAGAGTGATGATGATATCATTTCAGGAAGTGGCTGCCTTTCCCCCAGATACTATCTTAAGCAGGAGATATCAGTGCTTTCAGGGTCACTGCCACAGTCCACTACGATTTTATGTTATCAATTGTGTTTAACTCCCAGAAAATTTCAAGTTTTCTAGTAACCTCAGGAGAAAAAAATATATCATGCAACCTGGTGACCTACCCAAGTTCTGTTACAGAGGCAGGAATGTAGTGCATGGTGAGCCTTACAGCTCTTAGAAAAAAATTTCAAATACTTCTGCTCATTAGGTGACTTTTAAATGACTTGTTTTTCCTTAATTCTTCCTGACAGAAAATAATAGCAAAACATGATGGCTTTTTTCTTCACCATCTGTCCCGGACTATTTTATATCCTCTCCGATAGGAAGCCATCAGGAACAGAAGCCTGCTTCAGTCCCCATTTTGCCCCTAAGGGAAAGTGGCAAAGTGGGGCAGATCCTTTACTGTGTGATAACACAGATGAATTTGGGAGAGACTGTTTCCCACTTCTCACTGCACTAACTCAAATAGCAGAATATCCGCTCTCATAGTATTAGGTAGCAGCCCCTCCTGTTCAGAAGATAACTTTGCATCTTGCACATGGAGGATGATGGGCCATAGAAAGAGAGAAGACATGAATAACGCTCCTCTACACCCAAATCAATGTCCTCCAAGCACAGGCTTTGTAGCCTAAGTCAACGTTTTTTAGAAGGATCACAGACCAAGTCGTGCTGGAAACCTTCACAGCACTCGTACATGCAAGTTAAATAATTTTAATATTCCTGATTAAAATACTCAGCTGCCACCATGAATCAGATGAAATACGTCTCCTATTTTCATCTGTGTCCTGAAATGAGTGGCTGCTAGAAAAATAGATAAGAATTATTTCCTGCTCTGATGTGTCCTCTCAGCATTCAGCAGACTACATTTAAAGACTTCCAAGTGGGAGGATGCACGTTCATGTTTAATAGTTGTGAAAAGGTCTGCAATCCATTGATTTATTCACTCTATTTTGAAAACTTACAAAGTGCTTAGTAATGAGTCCCACTTATTAAATCTTTTGTAAGAAGGTGGTTCCTCGGGTAAGTATTAAACTTCCTATGTCATAATCTCATTTTTTTTTTCTCATTTCAGTTATCATAAGAAGATAACAGAATTTATGAGAACTTAGCAACTCCTAATAGTTATTAGGAGTTTTTTCCCCACAGTACATGCAATTTTTCAGGTCTATGTCATATTTCCACTGAAGATTTATGTTCTAGGAAAGGCATTTCCTTAACAAGTGCATGCCTACCAGTAGAAAGCCACTGAGCATTTCCTTCACAGAAATTTCTCTAGCTCTACTTTACCTTTTACCTTTCGGCATTGTGCAATTAAGTCTTCCTGCAGCCCAGACTTACATAATGGTATTGTGGCTTTATTTTATTCCTTAATCCAATTAATTCCCACTGTTTCATTTGTACTGACTGAC